ACACTTAATGGCAAAATACAATGAAGGATGCACACATTTTATTATATTTTCTTTTAATAAACGAATTACGGTTCACACGACATACAGACATATATATTTTTTTTTGTTTTTTTTGTTTGAATAAAGCAATCGTGGGAAAATCACAAATAACTAGCAACAAAAATGCCACGTAAAAATCCAACAAATGTACAGCAAGACCAATTGCTATTATTTGTTTCTTTTGGAGCGGTTGTTGCGTAAAACAAAAATCACGTGCTCACATTATATAAGGATGAGTGTTGGCCAGTCATGAATTTCCATATCCAGAAAATAAAAGTAGCAGAGATGTGGATGCTGAAATGGATGTGTGGGCACACTAGGCTGGATAATATTATGAATGAAGATATTCGGGAGAAGGTGGGCGTGGCTCCCATTAACGACAAAATACGAGAAGCAAGGCTTAGATGGTTCAGACACGTGTGGAGGCAAGATGCCTCGGTTAGGAGGCGTGAGCGCTTGGCTTTGGCGGGTATAATAAAGAGGTAGAGGGCGGCTTAAGAAGTATTTGGGTGAGGTGATCAGGCGGGACATGAAGCGACTTTGGATTTTCGAGGTATGGCTCCTGATAGGACGGTGTGGAGGTCGAGCATTAGGGTTGAAGGTTAGGAGGGAGTCGAGCGCTTTTCTTCTTTGTGACGGGGGTGGGACTAGTTTGTTAGGGTTTTGTCTTGGACTGCTAGTGGTGAAAGTTGTGTCCACACGATTTTTCCATTTTTTCATAGTAATGTGGCATTATTACTGGTTGTTGTTATTACTTTTTCATATATTTTTTTGTTCTTACGATGCTAATATTATTTCTTTGATTTTTGTTGTTGTCACGAATGTTGTGGTCTATTTTCGTTTTCTTGAGCTTAAGGTCTCTCGGAAATAGCATTTCTACTCCTTCGGGGTAGGGCTAAGGTCTGTGTATATTTTACCCTCCAGACCCCACTTGTTAAATTTTACTGGGTTGTTGCAGGGCCGGCTAGAGCCTAAGGCCACTAAGGCAATGGCCTTAGGCCCCCAAAATAATTAGGGCCCAAAATCTATAAATAATATATATAATATTTAATAATTATGCACTTATTCGTAGAAATTTTAAATTAATTAAAATAGTTATAGCTAAAAGTTTTACACATCTTAAATTGTAGTTATTAGTTGTTTATTGTCTTTAGTTTGTCCCAATTTAAATCGATCTTATTACAATATTAGTTTAGAATAATTTTTCTTAACTCATTGAGTGTCGTTGTAGAAAGTTTTCAAGCTATTTTGATAAGTAGCTATTAATATTCTTCCTTAGCATTAAATGACTCTTGAAACATAGTAACTACTAAATGTTTCAACTTATATTTAGAATTAAAAGTGCTAAGAGAAACTGTATAAGTAGAAGAATACTCTAATTAGCAAATTCAATCAGGTAAAAGTGTTAATTCTATTACCGTAAATAATTTTTATATGAGCTACCTCAGTTAAAAAAAATTCAAAACTAAATCAATAAAATTCAACATGATAACACAAGAGAGATTAAACAAATTGGTTAGACATTGACAATAATTAAAACTGATTAAAATTTTTTTAGATTTCGATCAATTATAAGAGTAAAAAAAATTAAGGCCTCATTTTTTATTTTTGCCTTATGCCCCATATTATGTCGAGCCCTGGGTTGTTGTTGTTGGCATGTAATTATTTTATGTAGGAATTGTTACAATATTTCCGAAGCAAAGTGATAAAGTAAAAAAAGAAGAAGAATCTACTTCAAAAATTAAAAGAAAAATAAAACTAAAATCTAAAAAAGAAAAAAGAAACGTCTATTTTTATAGCCTATATATATACCACTACATTTCTGGTCCTGCCATTCCAAGTTCATAAAACAACAAAGAAGACTCACTAATCAAAAGCTCTCTTGTTCCTTTTTTATTACTCTATTTTCTTCATCTTCACTTCCTTCTAATTTGCTTTCCTCTTCGAGATGAACATTGTTATAAATAATTCTGCCCTTTTCAGAACTATGGTTTTGCTCCAAAATCACTTCTTCCCTTTGTGTGAGATGCTTTCTTTTATGTAATTTTTAACGGGCTTGGCTAAGGTTGAATTTGCTTATTGCTCGAATTCAGTTGTTAGCCACAATCCCTCTCATCGTTCACTTAGCCTTGAACCAACCAATTCCCATCAGAAAGTTGAAAAAAATGGAGTCTTTCAATTTCAAGAACATCAAAGCAGAGAAGGCAAACGCAATTCTTAGGTACAAAAGGCTTCAAAGGATCACAACCCTATTCCGTGCCATGGAGATTTGCATATTTTTTGTCATAATCTCAAGATTTTCTACTCAGTTGACATTTGTTTCCAAGCTTTTTGCTGAGTATTTCAGGGAACTCCCACTCGCCCTCATTAGTCCCGGGTTCGTCTTTGTGCTTGGAAATGTGATCGTCATCGTTTTGTTCTTGAAATCTAGAGAGTCATATGCTAAAGATAATTCATCAACCAGCACCATAACCGATTTCCATGATGAGTATATGAAAGAATGTGCAAAACACATAACCAATTACAGTGAACAGAGCATAAGCAATTGCAGAGAACAGAGTCTGAAACAGGGGAAACAGAGTATAAATAATTACAGGGAACAGAGTGTGAAACAGTGCATTCTTGGAGAGAGAGAAGTTGGAAGGAAAATTCGAAAGAGCCGTTCAGAAAACTTGCTGTGTGTCCCCCAGCATGAGGAGACTAGACGAGAACTGAGGCGATCGGCGACGGTGGTATGCCGGAGAAATGTGGATGATGAGATGAGTAGTGAAGATTTCAGGCGAACAGTGGAGGATTTCATTGCCAGGCAACAAAGATTATTGAGGGAAGAAGAAGAGTTTTCAGCTGGTGTTTCTTGTGATGCCTAGCTCATAAGCTAGTTTTTGTTCTATTTCTCGTTGAATTTTACTTTCTTAGGCAAATGGAGAAACGTACAACAATCATCTTTTTTTCTTTTTTCTTTTCTTGTTCTTAACACAAGGCAAGAGAACCTTGGAGGATGATCCTTCTCTCCCAACTGAGAATATTTTATCGTTTGTGATATTTACAATAAATCAATAAATACATGACTTATATTCATATATAATTTTTTTTCATTTAATTGTGGTTAATATACACATCATCATCTCATATTATCACTTAACGAAGATAAGTTAACATGATCTTACAATAAACATCAATTTCCAACTTACTTAACTCAGATTATTTTCGTTCATGATCAACAAGAAACAGAAAAATCAAAGTGGCTAAAAGTGTAAACTCGTAATACTACACTTGAATTATAATTTCTTTGTATTGAGCTATCTGCATGGAAGCCAACTCTCATGTCGCTGGCTGCTACGATTACCCTCACTTGATTTCTGCTCTGTTACATTTTCACAAGATCTAATCATATCTTATATTTTACCTACAATATCTTGACTACGATAATACATAAAAGATTTGTATCATATTTTATATGCATAATACGTAGGAAGCTAAGTAACTCAATCCAAAAACTATTAAAATCTCATGATGAGTCATTATGGTTTTAATAATCTCAAAAGAATAATTCTTTTTCAAGGAAGATTAGACATATCACGTGTGACAATAGAAGCAAGGTGAATAAGGTGATGCTGGCCATTCACACCTGTATTATTATTTATTAGCCACTAGCTTTAGCATAGTTCCATGACCTTTTTGGACCCAAAAAAAGTTCCATAACCTCTTTACTATTGATATTATTCTTATTTTTGTTATCATTATTTTAAGATAAAATAACTAAAGGAAATATAGTTGTGGAATATTGGTATATACTATAAAATCTGATTTTAAATCATGCTACTCTTTTAGTAGTAAACTAGTAATATGAGTATTGAATATCATAGATGTATAAGAAAGCATAAAGAAGCATGGGCAAAAGCAGATGTAGAAATTGACGTGGCATTGCCAGCCTTTGTCTTTCCTTCAATTTCCAAAAAGCCCACGACCTAAAATCTACTAATCATGATCAAACCTAACCCAACTTGTTAAATAAGTCAACTAACAATCAGCACAATTTAAATGAGAATAATGAGAAATAAATAATGAAATAACTGAACTTTTATACAACAATCCAGGGACCGATAGTACAAGTCATGAGCCATTAAGACTTAAATTTATAAAATTAAAATGAAATAACTATAAGATGTGTTTGGAATGTACATGAACATAATTCGAATCTAAAGCTATCAAGGACAAGTGATAGCCATAACTAAAATGCAGGTACATCTCCAATGTCAGTTTTCGCCATACACAGCAGCATCAACTCCAAGATCTGCACGCAAGGTGCAAACGTGTATAACCGACCATATGTACTTATTAAGTATCCTAACTAAACTCGACAAGGTAATAGCAGCAAGAATTATGAATGATACTCACCAGTCAGTTGTGCAAGTTCTGAAATCCAACAGGTATAGAATAGATATATGATCAAATCAGGAAAAAACACAGGTAAATCCACCTTGGTGCTCACAATTCTTTGTTCTAAAGTGTTCTACTCATTCAACAGTCTAGCATATAAGGAAGGTATGTAAATAAATTAGGTAAACAACCAAGAAAATTGCAAGTAAAGATGAAATGCAATAATCAAATATCAGTCTATTGCGGCGTGCAACACGATCCTAATAACAATAACCAGCTCTCCCAGAGCTTACATTAATCAGAAACACATCAGTTTCTCACAATCCACGGGTACACCATCAACAGAGAAACATGATAGGGTAACCCTAGGGGAATGGATCTGTATCCACATACAAGCACGACCAATTCAACGTGCTATCATCCTGGCGTAGTCACATGCTCCATATTATAATCCGTTCGGCGTGGTCACAGGCTCAATATTAACCCCACGGGTAACTCACGTGCTAATAATCACAATCCGTCTAGCGTGGCCATATGCTCAATATTACAATCCGCCTGACGTGATCACAGGCATAACAACACAATCTGCCTGGCGTGGTCACAGGCATAACAACACAATTCGCTCGGCGTAGTTACAGGCATAACAACACAATCCGTCTGGCGTGGTCACATGCATAACAACACAATTCGCATAGTCATAGGCATCCAATCCAAATCATATAACACAGAAGAAATATACAAGAACACATGTATATGATGAATGAATATCAGATTTTATGCTCCTGGACTAGTATAATGACATGCTAAAGTGTTGGCATATGCAAAGTATGCTATCATAGCTCAAATCGACAATTGCATCATAGATATAGCAATTATCATGCTTATGCAGGAAATTAACCTTTATGTAACCTCAAACATGGCTCAAATAGTTTACAACAATGTTATAAATATGAAAAATATTATAGCTTAAAGCTTAACAGTCAATTCAAAGCATATTATAGCTTAAGTACTACTCCGAGCATGGATAAATACCATGTGCTCGCACATGGTCTCAATCCCACACATATGCGCACCCATAGCACGTAGCTATCACAAATAACTCAGACAACTAGTGCCTCAACCAAGTTTAGATAAGATACTTATCTCAAGAAAGCCAAAACAAACACCGAGCAAGCCAAACAACACTCTAAAAATGACATCCTGCGCATACCAACATCCGAACGGCTCGAAACTAGCCAAAAGCAACTCAAGAACATCAAATAATGTTTAAGGAAATAATTTCAAATGATAAAGGTCGAATCTTTACTCATTTACTCAAAGTCAACCAAAAAGACAAACCCAGACCGCACCTCGGAACCCCACAAACTTACAAATCTGATAATTCATTCAATTATGAGTCCAACTATACTAATTTCACTCAAATCCGACTCTGAATCGATGTTCAAAACTCAAAAAATCACTTTAGAAAAGTTTAGACAAAAACCACCAATTTCTCTTTAAAATTAATAATCCAAATGCCAAAATCAAACATAGATTCATAAAATATAATTAAACTCGAGTAGAAAATATTTATTCCAATCTATATAGTGAAAATCGCCTCCAAAATTGCCTAAATCCGAGCTTCCCAACCCAAAATGTGATAAATGAGCAAAGCCTTTGAAATAGAGTACTTAATACACTGCTCTAGGTATACTCTTCGCGAACGCGGAAGAACCATCGCGTTCGTGATGAACAAAAAAATGCACTGCCATAATATGCCTTACACGTTCACGACAATTCCCACGCAAAAGCGATGCCCACAGACGTCACACTACGCGAACGCAACCTGCGTCTCGCAGACGTGAAGAAGGATTCACCAGCTCCTAACTTACCAGCGCAAATGTGACCTCACCAATGCGAACGCGAAGCTCAAGTTCCACATCCTCCACGAACGCAATTTAATACTAGCGAATACGAAGAGATAAAACAATCCAATCCAAATTTCCTTTACGCGATCGTGAGCCTAGCTCTGCAATCGCGATGCACTGCAGAGACACCAGCAATCAGTAATGCATAATCCATTCGAAATGATCTGAAACTCACATGAGCCCTTCGAGACTCCGTCCAAATATGCCAACAAGTCCCAAAATATAACACGGACCTATTCGAAGCCTCAAATCTCACATAATAACATCAAAATCACTAATCGCACCTCAAATCAAACTTTATGAATTTTTTAATTTTCAACTTCCAAAAACTCGTACTGAACCATATCAAATCAACTCGGAATAACCTCAAATTTTGCACACAAGTCCCAAATGATATAACGAAGGTATTTCAATTACCGGAACCACAATTCGAATCTGATATCATCAAAGTCAACTCCTGGTCAAACCTATGAACTTCTCAAGCCTTGAAATTGCCAACTTTTGCCAATTAATGTCAAACCCTTCAAGAAATATCCGAATGCAAATCCGGACATACACCCTAGTCCAAAATCACCATCCGGACCTAACGAAACCATTGAAACTCCGATCCAGGGTCAAATACACAAAAATTAAACTTGGTCAACTCTTCCAACTTAAAGCTTCCTAGTTGAGAACCATTCTTCCAAATCAATCTCGAATCACCTAAAAACCAAAACCGACTACTCACATAAGTCATAATACATCATATGAAATTAATCAAGATTTCAAACAGCTAAACGAAATACAAATATTCAAAATAACCGATTGGGTCGTTACAACAACTCTACCTTTTGTTGCTCCTAGCTATTTTGATTTTCCGAACAAATCGTCTCTACCTACTTTTATTCCTAGCTAAGACACATGATCTAGAGTTTTTTTTAGCATAATTTCTTTCCTGAAGGTCATAGTCGGATGGGTTAGGCTAGATCATAAACAAATAGAAAATAATAAACAATATAGCTATTGACGTACGTTTAAATGAACCTTCGATCGAGTAGGGATCAATAAGTAAAGGCGGAATTGGTATTTAATTTTTATGAGTTCTAAATTTTACGATAGCACAATTCGGTATTAGTAAATGAGTTCTGAATTTAATATTTATACATATTTAGTGAATTCCTTAATATAAATACACAATTTGAACTAAAAATATTGAGTTCAACTGAACCAATACATGACTTCTAGCTGCACCCCTATAAATAAGGTTGGGACCAAGATGATGAATATATATTTCAGGAAAAATCGAAAAATAAGAACGCATGTTCATATATGTTATGAATTAGCAATATGTATCTGATCCTATCTACATCGGTGTTCATAACCATATTATTAAGCAGATCTCTCTTACTATTAACTATTAAGCCATAGAGGAATGTATAACTCGGAACTCCCTCCAAATATAGTCGCAAGAAGTAAAAAAAAATTTCTTGTTTATCGAAAGTGAGACAAAGAAATAAAAAAATCGTGGTTGCTTCTAATTTCACCTAACTACAGTTCTAGTTAAATGGATTTTCATAACCTTTTAAAAGCATTCCACTATC